TCAGTGACCACACCGCTCCCAGCCATCGGTGCCCTCCTCTTGGAGCTGCCTGACATAATCCAGGAGGCGGCTGACACAAAGGGACTTTCCGTCCCTCTCCTCCCCCCACCTAGATTGGATGATCTAGCGGGAAGGTTTGGCTCCACCCCGGCTCGCCGCCCTAGAACCAAGCCTGGCAGAAGTACTTGGAGCAAAAGTATCCAGGTTGGACCAGCGTCCTGTTCTGTTCCTCCAGGGAGACACGACCAGACAGGGATGTCACTCTCCAGCCGAGCCCACCAGTGTGCGTTCCAGGTGGCCACAGCGAAAAACAATGTCGCTCTGCTGGCCTACAGCATCTCCAAGAGGCTGGAGGAAACAGACCTACCTGAGGAGACAAAGAGCTCGCTCTGCAAGGTATCTGACGTCATCCTCAACCTGTGCGCCTCCTCTGCTGTCTGCCTGTCTCGCATCGCCACCAGGATGACAATAATCCACTGGTTCACCTGGCTCCGACACTCCCCCTCCTTGCCGGAGAAACTGCAGAAAGACCGCTGTAGTGCCCCATCTCGACGGACGCGCTGTTCGGAACCTATTTCAAGGCTATGCTTGAAAAATCAAAGAAGTCGGAGGAGGTGTCGGAGACTGTGCGCCACCTGATGAAGCCGCACTCCTCCTCCTCCTGCCCCCCCCCCCCCCCCGCTGGACGGATCATCGTGGCCAGAGAGAGCAGCAGAGACGCTCCACAGTTGCAGCAGCATCCTCCCGCCCCGCTCCGCCGCCGGCCCCTCCCGCCAGAGAACATCCCTTCTCATCCCGGCAACCAGCGGCTCAGCGTTTCCCCAGAGACCGCCAATAGGCGCCGCCCTGGAACAACCAGCCGCAGGGCTCATGGGGGAGAAGATTTAAGAAATGATTCCTTGCGGAAGATGTGTGTGTGTGCAATGATGACATGAGTTTTAAAATAAAATGAAACATCATTCAGAGAATAAAGTGTCTGATTCCAGCCTGACTGTCAGTTCGAATGATCTCGCAGCGGCTCCTCTTCACACATCCTCCACACAAAACGAGCCAGTGACCTCAAAACAGGGTTTTAAAAGTCACCGCAGCTCGAGAAAATACACAAAATGCTCGCTTGACACAGCAGCTAAAAATGAATGTTTTCAGCAGACTGAGCCCAGAAGAAAACCTTGCTCTCAGCCCAGGTTGTGTTTTGCTTCGCCTGACCGCAGTGGGGACAAACGCGTTTCCTCATGGCAGCTGTAGCCTCCACCCAACGACGCCACATTGCTGAAGGCGCGCACACCTCCCCTCAGTGCACGTTAGCTCACATCAACCCTGATGCGAGCCCGCAGCCTGAGCGTGGCACAAAGGTGCTTCCAGGACCCTTTTGGCAAGGCCTCCCCTTGGGTCGCTCGGAGTACGTCTCAGCAGCACGTGACGGTGGTGGAGGCCTTGACTTGGCTGATGTCCATAAAAGACATGACGCAACACAAAAACGCGTGCCCGCTCCCAAAGCGTTACGCCGAGTGGCAGCGAGCGTTCTCCCTGAACAGATGGATGGACCGTCTTATCAGCAGGGGTTACACGTTGCAGTTCACAGCTCAACCCCCACCGTTCAGAGGGATTATAGAGACGGTTCTGTAATCTTCAGAACAGATCTCGTCCCTTCATGCAGGGACATGCAGGGTTCAGGGACTACTGGTAAAAAATGTAATTTCCAGGGTTCCCAACGGAGAGGAAAACACATGGTTTTACTCACGTTACGTCCTGGTTCCGAAACAGACCGGATCAATGAGACCCATCCTGGATTTATCTGTTTTCAACAAGTCGATCATGGAGAGACAGTTTCACATGTTGACAACCAGACAGCTGTTAAACAGCATTCACTAAAACGACTGGTTTACCTCTATCGATCTCAAAGACGCCTATTTTCACATTCCAATCATTCCAAAGCACAGAAAGCTTCTGCGCTTCTCCTTCCAAGGGACCCAGTACCAGTACAACAGGCTCCTGTTCGATTACTCCCTCGCACCACGTACTTTTTCAAAATGCGTGGAGACGGCTCTGCAGCCGCTACACAGAGCAGGGATGAGAATTCTGTTTTACCTGGATGATCTGCTGTTGCTGACCCGATCCAGGCAGGAAGCAGCGGCGCAAACCAAGGCGCTGACGTCACACCTGTTAAACCTGGGCTTCGCCATAAACTGGGAGAAGAGCTCGGTTCTCCCGGCCCAGAAGATCGTTTATCTGGGAGTGGAGCTAAACTTAGTCACTATGAGGGCCCGTTTATCACAGACGAGAGCCGAAACTCTTTTTTTCTTTTTTTTTTCTTTTTCCCCTTGTCCTATCTGGCATTGTGACACTTAGAATTATTGTCTGAGTTTCAAAGTGATGCCCAACAGATTTACTTTCACAAGCAGAGCATTATGGCTGGCCTCAATGCTCCTCTTGATATATAAATTAAATTTTATTAGAATTTGATTTGGGTTTGTTCCAGATGTAATGGACACGGGGATGAAAAACAAAGAAGATAACAAAGCAGAAAAGTGAGAGAAGGGTTAAAATGTAAAGAAGGAGATAGGAAGAGGAGAGAGAGGGATAAAGAGAACACAAATCAACATCATTGAAGTCTGCCTCTAGACCTGCGGAAAGGAAAAAAAAAAAAAACAGACAAAACTGAGAAACCACAACAACATATATAATTATACTTATAACATCATTAGAAAGTACTGTATACAGTACATCGTAATACAAGATATATTTAGTGGCCACCACAACCCAACTGAGTGTGTATCTGATAAACACCTGACTCTAAACACCTGTGTGAGCATGCTTATCACTATAAGGTTTCTCCATAAAAATTCAATAGTGGATGTGGGGACCCATAAACCCGTCCCCACAGGACACAAAGGTAACGCAGGGAAGACCGGAACCACAGACACACAGCGGCCCCCAAGCCCGGAACTCCGGGAGTCCCCCAACAGGGACACCCGCACCCCCCAGAGAGAGAAGCAAAGGGAAGCCCCAGGCGACCCCCAGCAACCACAATGCAGAAACCCCAGGAAGCTGTAGCGGCGAGCCCCGCCGGCAATCCGCCCCTCCAGAGTGGATCTGGCCATGGACACCAAGCCCCGAGTTCCAAGGTCATACCACCCCCCAACAGAGGCCCGACAGAGCCAGGGCACCCAGGCCCCCGCAGGCAGCCACCAGGGCGGGCCCGCACACACCCCACCACTCAGCCCCAGCTACTGAGAGCAACCAAAGCACCGGCGGCAGGGGAACTCACCACCGGAGGGGAGCATGACACACCAAATGGGGGGCAAAACTGATCCAAGAGAGGGTGCACCTGGTGATGAGCTGCTGAGGTCACGTGAGAGCTGTGCTGCGTAAGTAACATGGCAGGATACTGCTAAACAAAACGATTCAACTCAGGTAAAACAAACCAATATATTACAATCAAGCATAATAAATATTGTTAATGATAACCTCTGCATATTGTTTCAATAAACCAAACTGGACGAGGAAACATTGGACAGTCTGGAGAGTTACGTGGACAAGTGTTTTAACAACATCATGATGGGCAAACCACAAAAAAACACCGCATCCACGGCCACACCAACTCCTAAACGCATGCGTTCAGAGAGCTCAACTAGCACGTCCACCTCCCCAGAGAAAAGTTTCACTGATGTCCTGGGCTCTATAGACAAGAAGCTAACCAGCTTAGATGCCCGGCTGGCCCTGGTGGAGGTTCTGCATAAGGAGTTTCAAGCACTGAGGGAGTCTCTGGAGTTCAGCCAAGCTCAGGTGGCATCGCTCGCTGCAGAGAACCAAACTCTGAGGGGTAACGTCAAAAAACTCACCGAGAAGATGTCGCAGCTGACCGGAGAGAACAGGAAAATGAAGGAGTCCATCCTGGATATTCAAACTGCGTGCGAGACAATCTTGTCTTCTCAGGGATCCCAGAACGAGCAGAGGAGGACGCTGAAGTTACGATCCGTGAGTTTATCCAACATAAGCTGAAACTCCCAAGTGAGACGGTAAAAAAGATCACTTTCCATCGCGTTCACCGGCTCGGAGGTAAGAAGCTCGATAACAAGTGACCTCGACCAATTATCGCTAAATTTGAGCACTTTAAACAAAAAGAGCAGGTCAGAGGTCGGGGCAGAGAGCTGCATGGGACGGACTTCAGTGTGAACCATCAATTTCCAAAAGAGATCCTCGATCGGAGGTGGGTTTTGCTTCCAATCAGGAAGAAATACATGTCTGAGGGCGTCAGAGCTACGGTGGCTGTAGATAAACTTTATATTAATGGTCATCTGTTCAGGGAATGGGACATCATTCCGTGGCTTTATTAAAAGGAACAACGGGTTAGTTTGAAGCAGGGCTGTTCAACTGACGGCCCGCGGGCCAAATCAGGCCCACAGGTGAGCTAAGTTCAGTCCACCAATGGGTTCACTCTTAAAACAAAACTAGAGTTTTAACTATAAAACAATGTAACTTAATGATAAGAACTTGTGGATATCTGACCCCTGAGCGCTTGGCTTTCAGTAACTGTGGCCCCCTGGGCAGTTTAGTTGAATAGTCCTTGTTTAACGCTTGTAACACTGGAGGTAAATTAACTGGCATTTGTAAAATGTAAAGCACAGCTCGGTAAGGTGTCTACACTGGTGGTGAACAGTGTCAAAGCTATTCTTTTTTTGTTGCTGTTTGTTTGTTTGGTTATTTGGTTTTTGTTAGTTTTTTCCCTCTCTTTTCCTTTGTATTTTTTTAATTATTTTTACTATTTACTCGTTTACGTTTATCTGTTACCACATCACTTCATCAATCTTTTTCTCTTCTTTACCACCCAGCAAACATTTACACACAAGCACACCAAAACACACACACGCGCGCACACACATGCACACACATGCACACACACCAGAGAACTTTATATCTTTCAACTTCTCTCACACCCAGCTTCTACTCAATGTTCTTGTATCTTTCCACTTCAAACATCACTGTGTGTTTCTAAACATCTAAACAGGCAGTCTCAAGCAATAACTCTGATTTTAGTTGGATCTATTTGTCTCTATGGTGACATGCGCTGGTCAACTTTAGCTACTCACGCACAACTATGGGCACATTAAGGTTTGTGACTTGGAATGTCAATGGAACCAGTACTCAACAAAAAAGATTTGGAATTTTAAACCAGCTTAAAAGACTACAGGCAGATGTTGTCTTTTTACAAGAGACTCATAAATCTATTACAACTGCAGATGGTCTTAAATCACCTGACTTTTCTGATGTGTTTTGTGCCTACTATAACTCAAGACAAAGGGGAGTGGCAATATTAATACACAAAAATGCTAATTTTTCAGTACTAGACACAGTTACAGACCCAGAGAGTAGATATTTAATAATAAAACTTTGTATAAATAACTAGAAGCTGTGTATTGTCAGCATATATGCCCCAAATGTTGATGACACCTCTTTTTTTTATGATTTTTTTCTCAGCACTGTCTGATCACATGGATTGCTCACTTATACTTGGAGGTGACTTCAACTTTGGTTTAAATGCCGAATTAGACAGATGTAGTAGAGCAGGAACTCAGTGCAGTTGGCAGTCCATAAATATAGTTAAACAGTACATGAGTGATTACGGACTTTGCAATGCATGGCAATCTCTTCACCCGAACCGTAGGGAGTATACTTTCTTCTCACCTGTCCATCACTCTTACTCTCATCTGGATTATTTTTTAGTCAGCAGCTCGTTGTTGACAGACATCTCAGACACTGAGATGCACCCTATAGCTGTCGGTGATCATGCTCCTGTCTCTTTAACTCTAGCAAACAGAAAAGAAATCCCCAAAAGTATAAACTGGAGATTTAATATATCATTGCTTGAAGATTAAGATTTTATCAAATATTTTACAGACGAGTGGACTTCATATCTCGAGTATAATGACTTGCCTGGAACATCAGCATCTGTTCTCTGGGAGGCAGGGAAAGCAGTGATGAGAGGTAAAATAATTTCATTCTCATCACATAAGAAGAAAAAAATAAACATGTTCAGGAATTAGAAGAAACCATTAAATTGTTAGAAGCCTCCCAAGATGAAGACATGCTGGAGAAAATGCGTAAAGCTAAATTAGAATTAATTGAACTTATTAACAAAAAAACTCAATTCTTAATACAAAGACTCAGAAAAGAAAACTTTGAACAGAACAATAAATCGTTGGTTACATACTGTAACCCCAGATTCTATGAGTATAGGCGTAGCTCTTTAAGAGCTGACGCTGATGGGTTTTATCCTGTTATGCGAAGCATCACACTGAAAAGTTTAGTCCACGCCCACCTGCTGTGTGGGCCCCCACCCGGTCCGTACAAGTTATGTTAAGAGCGGGTAATCGGCTCCCAAATAGCTTTTTTCTTCAGCCATTTAGGAGTCAGTGAGGCCCTACGCTTAAAGGGCTATTTCGTATAGGCTTCGCCCATTAAGAGCTGTCGCTGATGGGTTAAGGGCGAAGCGGATGTTGTCCTCGCCTCACTGGGTCCATTCGAACACCGTATGAGACAGAAGCTTGCCCACAAAACGTCTTGTCACTCAACTCCCCATGTACGTAATTACGCATTGCGTAATTATGTGTGCCATGCACAGAGGTATGTTGTATAACCGCGTTCTGAAAAAAATGAATGCCCCAGAAACATTCAACGGGGAGGGAAGATGTTGAAAAAGGGGTGGCCATGAACCAACTGATTCATGGCTGAACAGTATGAACAGATTAATAATAACAAGTGAACTGATTATAATCAAATGAACTGATTGGTAACAATAGTCATGAACTGATTAGTGACAATAGAACCAAATAACAGACACAACTTGTGACTGATAACAACATCTCACACTGTAAAGCATGCAGTCAAATGTGAGTTTAAACAGGGTTCCATGAAAACAATAACATTCGTTCTGTTAAAGCATTAAGGACAGAATGTGTCATGGAACGAACTGTCACATCACGTAAATAGACGTGAATAAATGAGCAGGGTGTTGACCACGTGGCCACAGTGCAAATGTCCTACATTGTCACACCATTATGCAAAGCAGTCGAAGATGCAATACCCCTGGTCGATAGTGCTCTGAGGTTGACAGGAGGCTCTAAATCTGATGCTCTGTAGGCTTCAGAAATGGCCTCACACAGCCAGTGTGACAAGCGCTGGCTGGATAACGGGTGATCTGCAGATGTATCTCTATAATGCACAAACAAATGTTGAGTTTGACGCATTGTAGCTGTGCGCGCTATGTAACACGTCAATGCCCGCACAGGACAGAGAAGACGGAAAGACGCTTCTTCTTCTGATCTGTAGGGGGGAGGGAAAAACCCCTCCAACAATATCGCTCTTGATTTAAAAGAGTTTGTGATGTTTTTAGGCATAAAAGCTGGGTTTGGTCTTAAATCAGCTGAGCTGCCGTCAGCCTGAATTCTGAGACATGACGGAGCGACAGAGAGGGCAGATAAATCACTCACCCTCTTAGCGGATGTTAAAGCCAGCAGCAGGGCTGTTTTAAGAGACAAGAATTTAAATGGAACCTGATCCAGAGGCTCAAATGGAGCTTTGATCAGAGCCTGCAGGACCAACGTTAAATCCCACTGTGGAACAAGTGGGCGTGAAACAGGCCTGTGTCTCTGTACACCTTTTAGAAAACGCTTCATCAGCAGATGATTAAAAATTGTTCTGTCTTCGAACCCTTCGTGGCAGGAAGAGATGGCTACAGCGTACGTTTCAATCGTGCTGAACGCCAAGTTCCTGTCCTTCAGCTGTTGCAGAAAAGACAGCACGTTGCCTAATGGACATGAGGTGGCCTCTACACCCTTCTCTGTACACCAGCGCTGAAAAGCTGTCCACTTTGATGTGTACAGTGCTGTGGTAGATGCAGCATGTGAATCCTGGATTGTGCGCACTACATCCTGTGAGAGACCCCATCCTCTCTAAGCGGATCCGCTCAGCGGCCAGACCTACAGTTGCTGGCCTTTTTCTGGGTAACTCCTGATCGCTCCTCCTGCCTGGAGGAGAGCGTCCTCCCTCCACGGCAGTTTCCACGGGCGCCCCGACAGCAAGCTTTGCAGGACTGGGAACCATGGTGCATTCACGTGCTCGGGGGCCACCAGGAGAGCTGTCAATCCCTCCTCCTGAACTTGTTTCAGGAACTGTAAAATCAGAGGAGGTGGAGGAAACGCGTACAGAAGCGTTTTGGGCCATGGGCTGTGGGCAAACACATCCACCCCCAGTGGTGGTTCGTCTCGCGGGCTCAGAGAAAACCATAGTTGACACTGAACGTTTTCTCGTCTCGCAAATAGGTCCACAGCTGCTTTGCCCAATTTCTGCGACGTCTGAGCCATCAGATCTGAATGGAGAGTCCAGTCCCCGTGACGTGGACCGCACCTGGACATCACATCTGCCCCTTTGTTCAGAACACCTGGTATGTAAACTGCTCTGATGGAGAGCAGATTTTGGTGTGCCCAACACAGTAGTTTTCATGCAATGTGTAACATCTGGGCTGAGCGCACACTCCCCTGCCGGTTTATGTACGCAGCAGTCACCTTGTTGTCTGTGTGAATCAAAACGTGTTGATTCTGTAGCACAGGAGCAAAGTGTTGAATCACGTTCAGCACCCTGCGACACTCCAAAACATTTATGTGGGCTGATGTGTGATGGGGCCACAGTGCCCCTACAGCCTGAGATAGGCATGGCCCCCCCAGCCTGACAGCGATTCGTCTGTGAAGACTGACACGTGTGACGTGGGTCTGCTGACGGGAACTCCCTCCGACAGAACCAGGGTGTTTTTCCAGTGTCAGAGGTCTGCTCTCACGGAGGGAGGAACAGTGATCATCCGTCTCTTTTGTCTTACTGGATCCACACGCAGACGCGCAAACCACCTCTGGAGGCATCTCATGTGTAGTAAACCCAGTGGGACCACTGTGTGAACTGATGACATTGTTCCTAACAGCTTCATGACGGAAACAGCTGTTATCACTCTGCCAGGTCTTACGTGGCGGAGCTGGTCTGTTAGAGTGTCAATTCTTGTTTGTGATAAA